TCACCTAAATTAGTTCGAAATCGGGGACTATAGCAAATCCACAAATAACGAAATGTATTCTTTACTGAAAAAATCTTTTACGTACGACGGGAAAAACAATAGTTATCAGCAAATAAATGCCATGATATCTATCTATCACTAATTATTTATTTTTAAGTGGCCATCGACATTCATTGCCGATTAGCATATGTAACCAGCTGTCATAGTCATTTAACCCATTCACGCCGGGTGTCACCTATACGTGACGGGCCCACTTTGAGTTTACTTGTTTGATTGTTTACAAACATAGATGGCTCCACTTGCACTTGTACCGCCTGTCTCGTCTGTTTACCCTTTTCTATAATTTACGAAATTATTTTGCGTTATCTTATTTTCCTGTTACTAATGTTTATAACATTAGAGTAATTATAATGTTTATAATAAAAATAACCATCGATATTCATAGCACTAGTAGAAATACATTTTCCCGCCAAATGAAATCCGGTAAAGCAGTCATCTAGTGTAGGGAAATTTCATAAAAAAATATAAAAAATGAACACAGCATTTCCCCCATTTTTTGTTCATTTTTACCCGGCGCGAATGGGTTAAACAACCAATTACTCAACCTTACTAAGTTATGCGACTATCCCTTTATCTCATTTGTGTAACCAATAACTACTTTTTGTTTTATTCAGGCAACCAATTAAGCAACTCAACCAGCGCATCCAATCAATTGCCCTTTTTCCCTACGCAACCACAGTCTACTCAAAGTTCTCAACCAAGTCCCTTTTAGGCTATAAACCTATATAACCATCATAACCAATTCCCTACTTCGTTCTACCTGTCTATCAACCCATTAACTAATATAACCAACTCACTTGCCCAAATGCATTTCTATCTGAATTTCTACCTAACACCCAATTCACATACCCAGTTCCCTGTTTTTCTAACTGTATTTCTACCCATTAACCAATATAACCCCCTCACATAACCAATTTCCCCTTTTGTTCTACGCATTAACTAATACGACCAATTCCATACTTCGTCCTTCGTTCTGTTTCCACCCAGAGTGCTTGGAAACATACTTTTCGTACCGGAGTCTCTCCCAGAAGGACCCAGACTTCGTGGCGGCTGTGAGGGGCGCTTACATCCTCCCTCCTCCCTCCCGCCCCGACACGTCCCCCTTCGATGTTCGCCGGCCTGTGTGGAGGGAGCTGCTCGAGTGGGATAAAGTACAAGAAATGTTGATGGCGTTGTGGAAGAGTGAGGTCTGTTTGGTCTCTGTTTTGGTGTGTTTTTTATGCTAGAACGTGGGCATTTTGTTTTGTGCGTGTTTGTTAATTGTTGGTGGTGTTTTTTTCATCTTCTAGCTCGTACGCGTCGGTGCAGCATTAAATATTACTGATATATCAAACGAATATTGCATTACCTGATACCAGATATTGGTCTTTCTAGCCTCCCGGAACCTTCGTGGAAATCGGTGCCGTCGACGGAGAGTTTATGAGCCAGACGCTGATGCTGGAGAAGGCCCTCGGCTGGTCGGGACTCCTCGTGGAACCGGATCCTCGCTCGTTCGCCATTCTGCAAGATCGGCGTCGCAATGCTTCTCTCGCTTCGTTATGTGTCGACGAAAAGCATTCTGATCTGGTTAGTGGGCCTTACTGACTGTACCCAACTACCCTTGGGGTGCTTGTTCATTCCGATAACTGTTCTAACTCATAATTTGCGTTTTTCGATTTTCTGGGAAAGTTACCCCCTCAAAATACGGTTTTCCACATCCGTTTTCTGTGTTTCGCAGCACCTGTTCTGGGCGATGGATTTGATAAAAGGTTTGCCTCAAGAATATCAAGCGCTCACGATGGCCAGGAGCAAATTGTCATCAGAAACCATCGTCGGGGTAAAGACAAAGGCTCACTTTATTCTCAGTAATGATGAAATGCAATGTTTTCTTTTTTAAATATCACCATTTTCACTAAAATTATTGCTGACATTATCACCGGTTTTCCCCTCGCATGGCCTCCCTCTCGAACTAACGACGGAACTAACTTCGCTCAACGTCCCTCCGTCAGGATGAACGTCAGGGAAGGTCGACGCTGGTGCGCTGCGTGCCCCTGTCGACCCTCCTCCTCGCTGCTCGCATCCAGACGGCAGACTTCTTGAGCGTGGCGACGGGGCTGCCCGAAGATCATAAGCTCCTTCGTGGCGTGCTGAGGGAGCCGGCGGTCTTCGATATTAAGGTGACACTAAGGATTATTCTATTCAGTTACGGAGAAATACGATCGAATCTAATTAAAATACGATTTTTTTCTATACTAATTAATCCAATTTGTCATACGTACATAAAAAAACCCTTAGGGCACATAAAAAAAGATAATCATCATAAAAGAATTGAAAACGGCATTTCGTCGCCGACGTCCTCCTCCTTTCGCATCTCTCTTCTCCGACGTCCTCCTCACTTCCACAGACCATCCTGGTGCAGTACACGCGGGCCGTCCTGAAGGAGACGCCGTACCCAAGTCTTCATGGGTACATGTATGACATGGAGCGGTCTTTCCTCATGACGCGGCTCTACTGGAGGAGGAGCCACTGCCGGCTGCTCGAGAAGGTGACAGCCTGCAGGAGGTTCAAGCACTACGACCTGGCGGAGGCTTGCTTCAAGTACCGCTGCCTGGGTTTCGCTACCGTGTGGTCGTACAGCTGAGCGTCGGAGCGAAAGGGCGCTGGCTTTTTATTCTTCTCCTTCTATTTATTACCAGTTTCTGTCCTTTCTTTTCTTTTTTGGTTATGCACCGTTTATTTTATTATGATTTATTCATTCGTACGCCAGGTTACAGTGACAACGATTCAATCACACGTCACGTTGCAGTGGCATTGGTGAGCCTAAAACATTTTGCCCCGTCATGTGAGCCGCTTGATACTTTGTAATAAGGTCTTCTGTGTATGAGGAATAAAAGTCGTGCACTCTGCGAAAGGCGCCATTAATTCGCTTTCATTTTACTCCTCTGAATTTTTCAGTTGCTCTCAACGTATAAAGAAACGACAATCTATATATATCTGTGTGTGTGTGTGTGTGTGTGTACATATAATATATAATATATATACATATGTATATATATGTATACTATTATATCTATATCTATCTATCTATCTATACCTATCTATCTATCTCCATATCTATATCTATCTACATATTTATATCTATCTATCTATATATCTTTACCTATATCTATCTACATATCTACATCTATCTATCTATCTATCTATCTATCTATATATCTATACTTATATCTATATCTACATATATCTATATCTATCAATCTAGCTATTAATCTTTCTATATATATTTATATATATTTATATCTATCTATCAATCTATCTATCTAAACTTTAGAGCGTATGTTCCCCTTCGCCATTGCTCGTGTCTCCCTGAAAGATAGAGAACCTCCTCAGTCACGCGAGTTCTATAATCGTCACGGATATATAGAGCTTCTCCGCGATGAATATTTCTCTACCATCGGGAAGAAACGCTGCGTCGCCCACTACCATGAACTGAACACTTTTTGCCGGACGAGCGAGTTTCTTAAAGTCCTAAAACATCGGGAGAGAGTGGAGAGCAGAGAGACAGGTATGAAGATTGCCTGAGGCGCTTCTTATATCATGATACGTGCTGGAATGGCTGTTGATGGTCATTGAAGGAGTGGAAGTAATAAGAACAGTGAGAATCTTTTCTGCCATGGTTCAAAAAAAGGTCGCGCGTGGGATTTATGTACATATGTATATATATATATATATATATATATATATATATATATATATATATATATATATATATATATACACATATACATACATACATATATATATATATATATATATATATATATATATATATATATATATATATATATATATATTTATATATATATATATATAATCTAATAGTATACAGAGAAATCTTAACAAATGATTTTGAAAATTAAACGTTTTTAATGTTATTCCTTTGACTTTTGAAGGAAAACAATATGGCTAGGATTCTCTCCATTTCAAGGCTTTAAAGAAGTAAAAACTATCTATTGATGAATTTGGAATTAACTAAACAAAATCATATCGATACCTGGCTTCGTTCATCGCGCGATTCGCCGCCTTCAGGAGTTCCTTCGGCAGCGCCCCCAGCAGCCAGCGGGGTCGTCCGAGCTGGGTTGTCGTACGTCCTCATCTTCATCCTTTTTTTCTTATACTCTTCTTATTTTCTTCTTCTTAGTACGAATCCTTCCCGTTCTTCCGGAGCCCCTAGCGACTCGAGAAGGATCTCCGGCCGCTGCCTTCCGGAAGTTTCGCGCCTTCGTCAGGAGGTTAGTCGGTCTCCTCGTGACCTCTTGAACGATACCCGCAAAGATGTCTCTCCGGAGGCCCTGCGTCCTCCACCTCCTCCGCCTCCTCCGTCGCCTGTGCTCTCCCGCCCCTTGCGTCGCCGCCTTCAGGAGATTCCTCCGCGAGTCCCTTCAGGCGGTTTCAAGATTGTCATGACGTCACGATCTGTGGCTCGAGCAGCTCCAGTTGAAATCACGTCGCCAGTAGTGTAATAAATTCGATCTTTTAACTGCAGTGATTATTATCTTCCTGCATTCATGTTTTTTCCTTCTTGAACACGTACTACTGAATGAAGATGAAACTTGCCTTTACGCTGTTTTGAAATATTTTACGTCTGTACCCACCGCCTCCGCTGCAGATGACGTCATCATCACCCGGGCGAAGGGAGGACGGAAAGAACATCTTTTGCATTCTCTTGACCTTGATTCCAGCGGCGGCTCTCTTCTTGACACGTAAATTCCCATCTCCCAAAAGGGGAAAATTCCAGGTTCTTCCTGAGCTCAATGGCAGTCATCTCGAGATTCTTTTTTTAAATGATTTTTTTACTGTTGTATCAAATAACTTGGCTTGGCATTTGCGATTGGCGGAGGAGGAGAAGGAGGAGGAGAAGGAGGAGGAGGAGAGAGGAGGGAGGAGAGAGGAGGGGGGAG